AGTTAATACTGAAGCTGGCCTCACAGTAGTGTAGTTTGGTATACAGCATGTGGGCTAGTTTCAAACAAGGTTGAATTCTCTTTGAACTTGTTTCCTCTCCCCTGCAAAATGCGAGATTTACAGGGGAGAGGAAACAAGGCTAAAGGAGGAATGCATGTGAAGCTCTGGGAGTCATGTAGTGACTACTGACCAATTATACCGTATTCAAGGAGGGATCTATCAGCTTTCTTGACTCTTGATGAGGGTGTCCTTTTTTGTTATAATAATAATAATTAAAAAAAGATCCCCAGATCCCTGCTCCCACCCTGTGCAGATGGGCTGCCCATTCCCTACCCGGCAAGAGACAAGGGTTCATGCCTGGAAAAGTTAAACCAAGGGGACTATAACCAGGAACAATGGAAACATAGTCAAGGGTAAGGTACCATAACATATTGGACAGTGGGAACCCGGGCACCCGCTCAGCCTGACTCCCAGAACACTCGCAGCCAGGTGTGTGCCTCCTCGGCAGGGCACAGGATTTCTCCCAGGGGAAACTGAGCAGCCCCTGAGGATCGGGCCATGGATCTATTCAGGGGCCTTACAAAAGTACCTTAAGTCATCACTCTGTGCTCACACACACAGCTTTCAAACAGCTTTTAGTGCTTCATCTTTAAATCTAAATGGATATTCTGATGCTTAATAAAGTGTGATAATAGATTTTAAAAATGAATGGATAGCCATGATACCTGAGCAGAGTTCTACCAATATTTAGGGGAAAAAAAGAAACACAGAAGAATAGTAGTAGAGAAAGAAGAAAACTTCAAAACAAACCTATATAATTAATATTCTGAGAGAGAGAGGTATAAAAACCTCAAAACAGCAAGTTCTAAGAACAGAACACTCAAAAAACCAAAACAGTGCTCTTAGAAATTAAGTTTGTCGAAGTGAAAATACGTATCACCATCACACACCAGTCACCTTAATAATTCGTAAAGAAAGCAGAAATGAAACAGAGACAAAAAGGGGACCCTAAAGAAACAAGGGAACACAAGAAAACAAAACAGGGAAAAAAACCCAGACTATTATTAATATCCTTAAAGAGCAAAATCAAGCAATTACAATCATGAAACAAGAACAGAGCACTACTAAAAAAAAAAAAAAATTGAAGCTGGACACAGTGGCTCATGCCTGTAATCCCAGCAGCACTTTTGGAGGGTAAGGCAGGAGAATCACTTAAGATCAGGAGTTTGAGACCAGCCTGGGCAACATAGTGAGACCCCATCTCTACAAAAAAACACAAAAATTATCTGGGTGTGGTGACCCACTCCTGTAGTTCCAAGCTACTCAGGAGGCCGAAGCAGGAGGATTGGTTGAGCCCAGGAGTTTAAGGTTGCAATGAGCTATGATGACACCACTGCACGATAGCCCGGGCAATAGAACAAGACCCTATCTCAAAAAAAAAAAAGAAACAAAAACCACAAAAGACATTTAAAGAACAAGAAAACTTTTGGAAATTAAAAATATTAGCAGACATAAAAAAATTGAACGGAAATGTTAGAAGATGAAGTTGAAGACAACTTCCAGAAAATTAAAAACAAAAGATATATTGGAGAAAAAAGAAAAATTAGAATGTCCATCCAGGAGATCATGTACAAAATTAATAGGCATTCCAGAAAAAGAAGAAGGAAATAGGGAAGAAATTATCAAAGAAATCAACAAGAAAATTTCCCAGAACTGTTCTGGGCAAAGAATGGATTGAACAAATTCATCTTATATTTACTCTTTCCTGAAACCCTAATCTAAAAAACAGACAGCAGGCTGGGTACAGGGGCTCACACCTGTAATCCTAATACTTTTGGAGGCTGAGGTGGCTGGATCACTTGAAGCCAAGAGTTCGAGACCAGCCTGAGCAATAGCAAGACCCCATTTCCACAAAAAACAGAAAATTAGCTGGGCGTGATGGCTGGCACGTGCCTGTAGTACCAGCTACTTGGGAGGCTGAGGCAGGAGGATCGCTTGAGCCCAGGAGTTGAGACTGCTGTGAGCTAGGATGACGCCACAGCACTCTAGCCCGGAGGGCAGAGTCAGACTCTGTCTCAAAAAAAAGAAAGAAATAACAAGAGCTTAGATAATAAAAACATGAACAGAAAGGTAAAACTAAATAAACAGCTGGGTTGAAAGATAAAGATGAGGTAATCTCCTACAAAGTAATGCAATATATTGTATAGAAAATAAGGGAGATAAACGATAAAATTAGAGTACCAGTTGTGCAAATCCAACGTTCAAATAATAGAAGTTAGAGGAAGAGAGAACAAAGAGAAATACGGCAAGAAAACACCAGCACAATACAGTCATTCACACAATTTCCCCATATCTAAAGTACATGGGTTCCTAGAATAAAAGGAAATATTCAGGCAGGGTGCGGTGGCTCACATCTGTAATCCTAGCACTCTGGGAGGCCGAGGCGGACGGATTCCTCAAGGTCAGGAGTTCGAGACCAGCCTGAGCAAGAGCGAGACCCTGTCTCTACTAAAAAATAGAAAGAAATGATCTGGACAACTAAAAATAT